GCAGACGCCGGCTGGATGAGCGACGGTGGGCGTTCTCCTGCGTCTTCTTCGGCTGGAGAAGAGAGAGAAGAAAAAAAAAACTGAAATCCGTTTTCAGAAAACGAAAACGTGAAAATGAAAACGTATTTTTTTCGTTTTCAGTTTTTCACAAAAAGACAAAAACGTTTTTGTTTTTGTTTTCTAACACAAACTTCGCCAAACGCGTTTTTCATTTCTGTTTTCAATTTTTTGCTTCGAAAAACGTGAAAAATGAAAACAAAAACGGTAACAAACAGGCCCTAAGTTTCTTACTTCCAGTAATTTCGACACGAATTCTAGAGTTGTGTCTCATTGTAACGGCATTGTCTGTTGCTATTGTTAGAAAATACGTCATCGAATGTGCAACGAAATTTTAAAAATTTAAATTAATGTCAAAATCAATTAAGAATATATTTATGATACTATATAACATAAATACTAAATATCTAAATCATACCTTTATAGATTTAAAAAGCAGTAAGTCTGTCAGATCAAAGCGTTTTAAATAACAACCGGAAGAGCTTCAACTAACAGGTCTTCTTTGCTATTCTTGTTTTCACGATCGGAGTGCGGGTAGACATACGTCGTTCAATCTCCTCTTGGTATTCTTGAACTCCTTCTAACCACAAGAGAGTCAAAGGAAAAATCGTTCTTGAGAATTAAATAATTTTTCCTCTCAGGAATCTTTTTTCAATAGCTCCCAAAAAGTCTCTCAAGTGATCTAATGAATAATGTGATTTAATGGCCTATTTATAGTGTTTAGGAAGTTATATTTCCGTAACAATTAGGTTTCTCAAAGTTTATATCGCTAACAAAGTCGATTTCGCCACGTCAGCATGTGCTACACGTTACAACTGGTCGACCGGTGACAGAGATGTTATAACTCACCAGTCGACCTGTCCTTCATGAATCGGTCGACTGTCTGAACTAGCGAAACTTGTTTTCCTAGTTTTTTCAACACGAGAAACTTGCACAGAGCCTCAATTTTGATTCAAGCAACCCAATAGAGAAGTTGACTGATCAAAACAGTCATATACTAGTCTTCTTATATTAAATAACTCTTAAAACAATAATTCAACCAATTTATCTAGAATTAATTTATTAATTAATTCACCTAATAAATCACTTATGATTTAATTAACCAATCTCATATTAACTTTGAACATGTTTTGCGGAAATAACACAAGTTACCAATATGTAGTAAATACACTATATCATTACAGGAAATTATGGGAGCTAGCAAAGGGACCCGATGGACATATATAAATCAAGCTCCTATAATCACAACGCTACTTGTAAACCAATAAGTCCGTCTCATGATTATAAAACTCTAGCGCTACTCCACTAAAAGTTTAGAGTTGCAATCTCGATTTATATAGCGCATTTACAAAGCTCTTAATAGCTCTCGTCCATGACTCAATATATTAGTGTACCATCCACATAGGATATTCATAATTGACTTGAGGTCAAGTTCCGTTTTACATTCTTGATTACATTTATCTTATATTTCATTACCACACCATCGGAAAACTACTATTTGTACCATTACAAATAGTAAACCATTAGATAACAGGAGTAGTTTAATGACCGAGCGCTCGTATTTTTCAATCCACAGATAATTCATAAGAGGATATCATTGACTCTTTGTAGGAGCTATGAATTCCACTATCTATAAATAACGAATCTACGCATACACGAGTCATACCCCCAATGTACCGGTAAGCGTATCTTTACATAATGTTAGGATGTCTCCCTTTGGTACATCAAAAGATACAAGTCAAGCATACGGGTTCATTATCCATCTCAAGATTAAGATGACAACATATAATTCGTCAAAAGTGAATTGTTTTATTTAAACGGAATTATTAATTAAAACAATTCAACTTTGGTCCGACCTAATATAGATTTCACCATTAGAAATTATATCAATGTCTCTACCCATAGAGTCCCACATCCGACGACCAAGACAAGCCGTCTCCGTTAGGAAGTAGACAACATAACAATCTTAATATGAATAAAGCGCCCAACTTTATTCTCTCGATTGTGGATCATATGATTTAGACTATCATCTTTAGATTCTCATCTTCCGCATGTTCTTCTTATTACATGCATGACCTAAAAATTTAGAATGACAATCTCAGACTTTCAGTTTGCTTATCATACATTCAACTAATATGAACATAAAGAAGACAATACATAGATATATGAAATAAATAAATCTTTATTAATAGTCAAAATGTCTCAAAGAACATCGTTACATTTATTCCTAAGAGCGTAAACGTTAACAGCTATGACTCTGACTCCCATTGTAAGGACATTATAGCCCCGTTCACTTCACCTATTCGAGTTTAGAATTTGAGTTTTGCTACAATAAAAAGTTCTCAGAAACAGTCACATCTAACTTTTTGCTACAGTAAAAAACTCTCACATAAAATCTCAACTCGAATTACAAACTTAAGTCAGCGAAGTGAACGGGCCCTATAACTCTATTAAATCCAGCACTCAGGGAATGGCAGATTGTTCCTGATGCAGACTTTGGTGATGGCTATAGAATACGGGGAGTGGGGTTTGACTACGACTCCAGAGCTAATGGTTATAAAGTTGTTACCATCAAGTCTGAAGATCCACTCGATCCTTGGTGTATAGCCTTAGTACCAACTCTTGGAAAGAAATTGAGTTGAATGTTGAAGTTTATTGCTTTTTGATGAATGAATACCAAGTCGTGTATTGTAATGGAGTTTGTTATTGGTACTATCAGGACGTTATGTGCTATATAGTTTCTTTTGATTTTAGTGTTGAGGTATTTGGAAACATACCATACCCAAATAAAGCTCCAAGTTTAAGAGAAACAGGTGATGATGAACCACTTGAAAAATCATCGAAGATTGCAGTTTGGAACGATTCCATCGCTTTGTTTTTCTATCTTGAATTGGATCCCTTGCTCATTGATATGTGGGTAATGGATTCCTGTTCAAGTGGTGTTGAAGGTTCCTGTCCTTGGACTAGACATCTAACCATTGGACCCCTTGTGGGAATTAACAAACCAACACTGTTTTGGGCTAATGATGTGCTCTTCATGGAAAACAAAGATCTTGAAATTGTCTCCTACTACCTTCGTACCAAAAAGCTCGCTGCTCGCTCCATTTGTAAGGAACTGTTTAGCAATCGTGTTGTTATCTGTGAGAAGAGTTTGGTTTCGGTGCTCCAAAGAAGAGCAGAAAAGCTCAGAAGATGCAGTTTGTCGGTTTGTCGATGGGTTAATGAGACAAGGAAGGCCAAACATGTAAAACACTATTTCGTCTTCCAAGTAGTAACACTTTTCTTTACTTTCGTCCCTTTTCTTTATTATTATTATTTTTTATTTTGAAAGTTATGAAAGTATTTTATTACACTTGAATACATACAGGGTGAGATGGAACAGAGACAAACTAAACAGACACAAGCTTCTACTTCGACTGCAGGATCATTTGAGTCACTGCCGCACATGGTGACTGATGAGGAGCTTGTAAACTGCAAGCGTGGGTTGCGTCAAAGTCGCAGGAAAGGAGTGCGCCTAATGCTTGAGAAAAGCATCGAAACATCTACTTCTCACTCATCCCCCGCAACTTATCCTCCGCAACAGGAATCAATTCCTCCTTTCACGCAACAGTGGATGAATCTACTGGCTGAGTTCAAAAAGCAGATAGCCATTTAACAGAAGCTAACGGTCGAGCACCAGAAGCTAATGGTCAATTACCGGACACTGGAGGCCGCTGTCTTACAATGTCGATTGCTTGGGATTGATATTCCTGTGCCTCCTCCGTTGTTTCCTCCTCTTCCACCACTCACGCATCCAACACCGCCTATCGAGGACGAGGAGGATGATGACGAAAACATCAATTCAGGAGACTAGTTTCTTTATGTTTTCGTATTGGTTTTTTATTTTTTTTTATTTTTATAGATATATTTTTTTTTTGCTTCCTGAACTGAACTTTGACACTTTCGCTTTGCCCCGCAAATTTCAAAAATTGGCTTGCACATCTCGTGAACGTTAAAACCTTGTCAATATTGCTTCTTTCATCTGTTGGCGTAAAATTGTGCTGCTGTGGCCGTAACTTAAGTGGCATTTAGGGGCAGGAATGTAAATTCGCTACAAATGTTGTTGACCATATCTCTTTGAGTTTTTCAAAAAAAAAAAAAAAAAAAAAAAAAAAAAAAAAAAAAAACAAAAAAAAATTATAAAAAAAAAAAAAAAAAAAGAATAACAATAAAAAACCTAGAAAAAATATTACGCCCATCTTTATATCTTCATCTATTCCTTTGTCTAATAGGCTTCAGAGCTGGCTTTCTTCACCTGATTCCTTCTCATAAGTTATATCAGAGCAACACTCAAGGTTGTTTATATTTCAGAGTTTATCAATTGTCTCTGTGTACAAATACTAGATCTTGTCATCCTTGATGGGCACATGAGGGTGTCTATATAAACACACACACACACACATATATTGCTCTGGATTCTGGTGATCATATGATCGGTTGAAGGAGTCTAACAGAAAGACATCCTTAAAAACCATTAATGAGCACTATGCTCATTACCCAGCAATATCCTTTTTACAGAATGCTATTTCGATTTACATACTAAGAGAACTAAATTTCTATAATTTGTACTGAAAATTTGGACATCAGTGGCCGAAACGTTGCACAGTTTTGAGTAATTTGAAAACCCAAACTGAATTGCATTGATTTTGGTGGGATAAAATTTGTGGAAAATTAAACATATTAAGAGACGATCACAATCTCCATATTGTTTTTTAATCAGAGATAATCTCCAAGTTAGATGACCTGTTTTCGGTTATAGTTTGGTAGAATGAATAACCCGGAATTTGTTGCCAAGCACCTTTGCAATACTAAGAAAAAGTTGTTTGGACTGCCAAAATACAGTTTGGAAGGAACTTATTTGCTCACGGTGGCGAGTTCCGATTCTTGGAGCCCATATGACCACATTCCTTGCGTTACTGAAGATCTCAAGTTTCTTACTTCTCGACATTCTCTTAAGGGCCATTCGGTTCGCTAATTCGAGTTGAGATGTGGTGTTGTGTGAGACATTTTTACTGTAATAAAAAAGTTAGATGTGATTGTTTCTGAGAGCTTTTTACTGTAGCAAAACTCGAATTCTAAACTCGAATCAGCGAAAAGAACGGGGCCGCACTTAGAGACTGTTTCTGAGAGCTTATAATAGAATTATTTTTGCTGAGTTTTCTAAAGTGGACTGGTGTCTCATTGCAATGGCATCATCGGTTGCTATGACTATGACTGCCATACCATCATACTTCCATTGAAACCCGCACTTAGGACCTATTTTGTTTTATATATTTAAACTCAAATCATTCATTTTGATACAGTATATTTCTTACACAAAAAATTTAAATTTCAAATGTCAAAATAAAAAATTATGATTATGATTTGAGTATATCTTATAAACGAGCACTTAAGAATTGAAGATTATTCCTTATGCAGATTTGGTGATGGCTATGAAATACATGGAGTAGGATTTGGCTACGACTCCCGAGCTAATGGTTATAAAGTTGTTAATGATCATTATTCTTGTTGGGCGGTATAAATTTAGTATCTATTATTTTTGAACTATTAAATTAGAAATTAAACTTTTATGAACTAAGCTACTTATATATGTAAGTACACATATGGTCTAGGCATTTAAATTCATTTTTATAGATTAAAAAAAAGAAAAAAAAACAACTAAACATTGTAAAAAATTATGCTTATTTTCCCAAAACTGTTGATCTAAACGTGAGGCTATAAAAAAAAAAAAAGAAAATGTAATGTTGTTAACTAATTACTAAAGAATATAAAATATAATAGTTATTTGAAATCACTAGTTGGTGTAAAGTCTTGAGGCTTATAATATGCAAGAGTTGCAGGAAGACACACACAAATACAAATGCAAGAAAAAAATGGGTTATTAAAAATATTGTATTTCTAAAAAAAATAATAAAAGAACTTTTAGAAATGAACCCAATTCTATTAGTTGGATTAAGAGAAATAGAACTATATGAATTGAGTGAAAGTAAAAAGGAAAAAAATTTATAATTGATAACGAGCTAATTCATGAACTGTCTATTAACATTCAATCTACAAATTGAACAACTTTTTCATTAACAAAAAAAATACAATAATAGAACAAACACAACCATAAATCAAATACAAAAAATTTCAAAAAGACAACAAAAAAGAACTTATAAGTCCACATATAAATATTAGAGGTACAAATGTAGATACATAGTTAATAAAAGCTAATAAAATGACAATTACCATAGCACTAGCACAATTGCACAAGTTTCTAAAAAGTAATACTCAAACAAATTAAATTTGAAATTTAAATCATAAAATATTAAACTAAGCAAAAGAGTCAACATTTAACATTTAAACTCTCATAAAAAAAAGTATAAATACATATATAATAAGCGGATGAGGCAGTTTGAAATTGCTTACAATTTTATAAACTGCAACTGTCCGTTTATGAGTGCAAGATGGTAACTGCGTTGCCCAAAAATAGGCAGATATTGACATGGACCCGCTATGGGCGGGCAGCGCGGGGCGGATTGAACGGTTATTAATTCGAGTTGAGATGTGGTGTTGTGTGAGACCTTTTTACTGTAGTAAAAAAGTTAGATGTGATTGTTTCTGAGAGCTTTTTACTGTAGCAAAACTCGAATTCTAAACTCGAATCAGCGAAAAGAACGGGGCCGCACTTAGAGACTGTTTCTGAGAGCTTATAATAGAATTATTTTTGCTGAGTTTTCTAAAGTGGACTGGTGTCTCATTGCAATGGCATCATCGGTTGCTATGACTATGACTGCCATACCATCATACTTCCATTGAAACCCGCACTTAGGGCCTATTTTGTTTTATATATTTAAACTCAAATCATTCATTTGATACAGTGTTTTTTTCATACAAAAAATTTAAATTTTAAATGTCAGAATAAAAAATTATAATTTAAGTATATCTTATAAACGAGCACTTAAGAATTGAAGATTATTCCTTATGCAGATTTTGGTGATGGCTATGAAATACATGGAGTAGGATTTGGCTACGACTCCCGAGCTAATGGTTATAAAGTTGTTAATGATCATTATTCTTGGGCAGTATGAATTTAGTATCTATTATTTTTGAACTATTAAATTAGGAATTAAACTTTTATGAACTAAGCTACTTATATATGTAAGTACACATATGGTCTAGGCATTTAAATTCATTTTTATAGATTAAAAAAAAAAGAAAAAAAACAACAACTAAACATTGTAAAAAATTATGCTTATTTTCCCAAAACTGTTGATCTAAACGTGAGGCTATAAAAAAAATGAATATGTAATGTTGTTAACTAATTACTAAAGAATATAAAATATAATAGTTATTTGAAATCACTAGTTGGTGTAAAGTCTTGAGGCTTATAATATGCAAGAGTTGCAGGAAGACACACACAAATACAAATGCAAGAAAAAAATGGGTTATTAAAAATATTGTATTTCTAAAAAAAATAATAAAAGTAAAAGAACTAAAGAACCCAATTCTATTAGTTGGATTAAGAGAAATAGAACTATATGAATTGAGTGAAAGCAAAAAAGGAAAAAAATTTATAATTGATAACGAGCTAATTCATGAACTGTCTATTAACATTCAATCTATAAATTGGACAACTTTTTCATTAACAAAAAAAAAAATACAATAATAGAACAAACACAACCATAAATCAAATACAAAAATTTTCAAAAGACAACAAAAAAGGATTTATAAGTCCACATATAAATATTAGAGGTACAAATGTAGATACATAGTTAATGAAAGCTAATAAAATGACAATTACCATAGCACTAGCACAATTGCACAAGTTTCTAAAAAGTAATACTCAAACAAATTAAATTTGAAATTTAAATCATAAAATATTAAACTAAGCAAAAGAGTCAACATTTAACATATAAACTCTCATAAAAAAAAGTATAAATACATATATAATAAGCGGATGGGGCGGTTTGAAGCCGCTTACAATTTTATAAACTGCAATTGTCTGTTTATGAGTGCAAGATGGTAACTGCGTTGCCCAAAAATAGGCATATTTTGACATGGACCCGCTATGGGCGGGCAGCGCGGGGCGGATTGAACGGTTAGAGCGGTTTGCGGTTTTTTTTATGCACCCTTAGTTGTGAGGAGGTAAATTGTTAAAATTGGAAGTTGAGCAGGGTAAGTTATAATAGAATTATAAGTTTAGGGACAAATGTGCAAATTTGTTTTTTTTTTTTTTTTTTAAAAGACACCCGGCAAAATTTAAAATCAGAAGACACTTGGCGGTCACAGTGAAAGGTTCTGTTAAGACCTGGTAGACCCTGACGCACTCAATCCTTGCAAGTCTCACAGACACTTAGAAAGAGAGAGAGGGGGAAAAAAAAAATGAACCGCTGAACCGCTCCGGTTTTGTTTCCTTTCCTCAAGGCTCCGGCTTTGAGCGCATCTCTAATAACGAACTGAGGGGATTAGGGGCGTCTCAAAAACCGACGGAACGGAATTTCATCGCTTCATTTTCATGGAAATCTTAAGCTAAAGAAAAAGGTAATTTGTGAAACCATTTTTTATTCTCAATTTACTACCGATTTATATACACACACACACACACACATTCAAATTTGTTGAAGAATTTATTTGTCCTCCGAGCAATTTCAAAAACCCCACTTTCATTTTCTTATCTGCCCATTAACGCGTTTGTTCCGGAAAGTTGTTTATGGTGGTTCTATTTCTTAAAACTTTTGCGTATAGTTCTGGTTTTGATTTTAACAAATATCAGAGGAATAATGGGTTATGTTAATATCGCAGTTAGAGCAACTCAGTAGAAAGGGCCTTTCAATTTCTACATTTAAAAAAAAAAAAAAAAACGCAGTAGTTTTTTATGCCTTAGATTTGAACACCCTTTATGGATTTATGGGTTTTAAACCAAAATTTGTTCAATTTTGGAATACCATTTTAGCTAAATGTTGGTTTATTTGCACAGACGACTTGTGTCAAATTTGTGTTCCTATTAGAAGTAGAAATGGCTAGGTTTTCTGATATGCCAGAGGAGGTGTTGGAGGAAATTATGTCGTGGCTGCCTTCTGAGTCTTTGA